CAACATTTCGAATACTGTGTTCAGTTTTGGGCCCCTCACTACAAGAAGGACGTTGAGATGTTGGAACGTGTCCAGAGAAGGGCAACGAGGCTGGTGAGGGGTCTGGAGAACAAGTCTTATGAGGAGCGGCTGAAGGAACTGGGGTTGTTTAGCCTGGAGAAAAGGAGGCTGAGGGGAGACCTCATCGCTCTCTACAACTACCTGAAAGGAGGTTGTAGCGAGGTGGGGGTCGGTCTCTTCTCCCAAGTAACTGGCGAAAGGACGAGAGGAAATGGCCTCAAGTTGCGCCAGGGGAGGTTTAGATTGGATGTAAGGAAAAATTTCTTTACTGAAAGAGTGGTTAAACATTGGAACAGGCTGCCCAGGGAAGTGGTTGAGTCACCATCCCTGGGGGTATTTAAAAGACGGGTAGATGAGGCGCTTAGGGACATGGTTTAGTGGGCATGGTGGTGTTGGGTTGACGGTTGGACTCGATGATCTTGGAGGTCTCTTCCAACCTTAATGATTCTATGATTTGTCTTCCTGTTACTACCAAGTCACAGACACAATTATATCCAGGCAAAAGGAGAAGCCCAGTATCTTTTGGAGAAATCAGTTGCTGTGGGGTGAAGGGGATCTCAACAGCAGGGGTGGGGCTCTTTTTGTTTTTTTTTTCCAAGAGTGTTAAACTATCGTGCTGCATTTTGTTCAAACACACTGGAACATGTGCACTTTTTTCCCCAGTCACTATAAAGATGATCTTCCGATGTCTTAGAGGCCACTACAATTTTATAGACCACCAGCTGAGAAACACCGCCCTGGCCTGCACACACACTGCCTGAACTCAGCTGGCAATTTTATCAGAACATTATAGTACCCACTGCTTCCCTTGCTCGGGTTTTTTAATTCTGTTTCAAACACTGAGCTAGTAAGTCAGAGACATGCATAAATCATGTGACACCAAAAAAGTTCATGCCAACATTGTAATGACTCAACCTTTTCTAAAATATACAGTGATAAGCAAGTCTTTAATCTCCAGTGATAGAATGACTCAGTTTCAGGAACAACTCACCTAATTAACCAGGACATGATTTAAGCCATTTCATATGTAATATTGCGATAGTCTACTGCAGGAAATAACAAATACACCATCTTTTCATTTCTGTATTCTGACCAGCACCTGGATTTCAATGAAAATCACAAGCATTCGAACTGATGCAAGTGCTGTGACTTCACAAGACCTCTGCTTTTGATTTATAACCATGAACCAAGAGCTCTGCCAGACTCTCCACTGCTAGCATAATGCAGATGTTTAACTGCAGCATTAAAGGAATACAAGCTTAATCCCACACATGAAGCTAAAAATTCTAAAAACTTTCAAATCTATTTTAATAAATCCCGAGTTAAAAGATGCTTATAATTATCGAAGCTTTAAACGAATGAATATGCTTATTTTGATCCCCTTGTTTCATCACTTTTGTTACTCCACTTTTCTTTAGAGAGCTAGAAGAGGATAGCCTATTGTGGCTTTTGTTAGCTGAAGTTCCTGCAGAAACTCCAGCTTGCTGTTACAAGGTTCATTCACGGCATTTGCACTGAACACACTTGCAGGATTTTTTAATTTGTATGTTTTAAATATTGAAGACAGGCATCAAACGTTTCTACAGTACCATGTGGGACACTAAGGTTCACAACCTAGTTTCATTACCACAGGAACGTGCCTGAGCTCTGGGCACAGCTACTTCTATGGGCTTGTTCTGATAGATCAGGTCTGCAAGTTCAGTTCTTGTTTTCCAAAGAAGTCCAATTTGTTGTGTGGGGATTCTCTGACTTAAAGGACTTTGATATTTTTTTTTAACCTTTTGTGCCTTAAGTTCCATTTTACAAAACAAGAAGGACAAAAAAAGAAATGTCCTTGACTTTTCAAAAAAAGCCAGCCCTAACCAGGTAAGAAAATCTGCAATGCTTTTCAGTAATACTAAGAATGTACTAGCAGTGACTCTGCGGTGATTCTCTGTAGATTTAACATCTACGTTTAATTTTGTGCTAGTGTTTCTAATAGCCCTTTTCTGTACAATTATCCATTTTGGCTGCAAAAGCGTTTCAAAATAGCATGTGAAAAAAATCTCAGGTTAAGTCTCTGAAACAAACAATGCTTTGAAAACCCTAGAAAGATAATTTCCGTTATAATTTTTTCTTGCAATATTGTATGTACTATTCAATTGCCCTGCTCCATTTCATTCTATTTCCCCGGTCTTTTTTCAAAAGAACTGTACAACAATACATTTTTACAAGTGAACCTCAGCTCCTGCTAAGGTTGAATTGCATCTTAAAACCTAGAGAATGATTTGGTTTATTAACTTGCAGTGCCACCTAGCAAACGTCCTTAAAATTTTTTTTCCTGATGTAGTTTTACAAAGGACAGCTTAGAGCTTTCATATTTGAAAAAAGAAAAAGACAAACTTGTGCTCGCAGTATTTTAAGCATCTAGTGCATACTTCTGTTTTGAACAGTTAAATTCTATTAGAAATTATGTTTACAAATAGGATAATAATAATGATGCTCACATACCTAAAATTCTGGTATATGAACTTTAAGAACTAGTTTCAGACATATCCCTTATACATTTGTCTACATACACTTCCTTTAATTGTTGGGGGATATTTAAATCATACACTTTGATAGTAGGTCAGTGCTGAATTTATTGGAGTTTTGAGATAAGAGAGACTCCTGCCACCAAAATAAGGAGGATTTTAGCTTATCAAGGCACGTTAGTACCTTATACGCAGGCACCTTTTAGACTTGCGTGAAAGCTAGACCAGCTTGATTTGCCTCGCCTTAAAATAATACCCCTGTCCCAGGACAAAACAAGTTTAGGTATTTAACTCTGTGCCTGAACCGTGAAGCTATCCCATAGACCTACATGCGGGAGACATTAAAATGCAGCAATTCAGAATAAATGCTGCAGCCACTTTCTATTACCCTAAACCTCTAACAGGAAGCCGTTTCCTGTTTAGTTCCTGTGCCAAATTCTAGTAAGCCATTTTAAAAGAGAATATAACCAAATAAGCAAAAAGCAACCTCATGACATCAAGAGCAAGGGACTGAAAGAAAAATACACTCTGCTGACTGACCTCATCCTTTCCGAGAACACTTTAGACCAACTACACTATAAGCTCCTTGAAGAAAGCTGCTTGTCTGCATTCATAATGTCAACGTGTACCAATATTTAGACAGTACTTTGGCAGCAATACAAAATGATAGTTTTATTGCTTCTCCTAGAATTTCTAAGTAGAGTTCTGCTATTATCCTTCCTGGTGAACACAGAAACCACTACATGTTTTACAGAGTTCAAGAAATAAAGCAAGTAAAAACAAAAGATAAGTTTCCAATAATAAGAACAGTTTTGGCTTAGTTATGATCCTATGACCCTTGATTTTTCAGCCTATCTCCAAGGAGTCTAGCACCGCGTGAGGACTGTATTTACAGGAAGACTTGTGTATCACAGCAAGTCAAGGGGAAAAAAGAAGTAAAACTTAAACAAAACAAAACAAGCCCCAGCATGTAAAGAATAAAATTTTGACAAGCTCTACAGACCCCATCTTTACCTAAGATGCATGGCAGATGTTTTCATACCTGCTGAGAATTTAATTGCTATTCTAAGTCAAGGAAGAGAACACTTCCCCCCCCCGGCAAAGAAACCTACGTTTTGCATACTCCCTTGAGATCAGAACTGAGCCACTAGTTCTTTCCAGAACAACCATCCCTATATTGTATGGCCCAATTAGTTTTGCATAGAACTCTCTTTATGCAAAAATAACACATGCATTTCAGATGCTGTACTCCCATAAAAGCTTTGGACCTTAGTCCCTGCAGATTGACAAGAATGGTCTTTCCAGAAAGCCATTTTAATAGAAAAGTTCCTTGAAAGTTTGTCTTTCGTCCGTCTGACTTGATGCATTTACTTTTTTTGCCAGTTCTGATATCATTCTATGGTTTTGGTCCATTTTCATTTATCCTTATCATCGTTTTTCCACAGAGTTCTCCAGATCTTTGAGGTGTTAATTGTTTTCTATACAGCACAAAGACTCACAGTGTGGTTTCCTGCTTGAAAATGTGCTACAAGAAATGCAGTTAAATTCGCTACGAAAAATCCTCCACCAAACACCACAGGCTTTAACGTCACCTCCTTTTTCTTTCAGAGAGTTTGCATACATCTGCTGCTAAAATGTTGTAACAAGGGACTTTACACATTATTTCTATCCACTGGAAGTAGCACTCAGATTTAGAATCACAAAGTCTTTCCCCTCTCCCCAAGCCCATAGGTTCACCTTGCTTTGAATGACTGACAAGGAATCACTTTTTCAGGTCAGATGGATATGTGACACACCATCTTAGGAGCCTGGGTATTAGGGAATGACTGCTACTGCTCCCTTTTATGTTTCAGTCTCTTCTTGACATCACAGTAAAGAAAAATGAAACTGTAGGTCACACATTTCAAACAAGTCCCTCTGGTTTCCCATTCTCAAAAGCCGAAACCCACCAGAAGCCGGACGTTCTGACTGAACCAAGCCTCCACAACCCGTCTGAAAAGGTCTTGACTCATGACTGTCTCCCTACACACCACAAAGCACTAATGCTTACTTTAAGACATGGCCTCCAATGTTTTCATTGCCCTATAAATTGCAAGAGATATAACTCTGTATTTATAAATTCACGTCACTGTTTCCACACGTCTCTCCTCACAAGAGACTAAGATTATTATTGCTAGAACCCACAGCATGTTATAATAAAGCGGGTGGTGTGGATGTTCTCAAATTTATTTTACTAAAATACGCCTTTTCGACTACTAATTATAATGATACTATGCTTTTTTTTGCCCTTGTATAATGCAAAGATTAGTCATGACAGGTGTTTTTTTCCTCCCTAGAAAGCAAAGGAAATCCACACCTTAATTAATATAATAAGAAGATAATTACTATGCTTAAGAGATGAGGACTCAGGCAGCTCTCTGTTGACAAGCTATTTATTTCTCTTTCTTTTCATTCAGTTCGTCGAAGAGAACTTTTTAGATATGCATAGCTCTTCATGCCACTTAACAAAATAATGCAGTACCACTGGGGATGTGCAACCACCACAACAAACAGGGAGAAAACTTACGAAGCGTGCCTTTGTATTTGCAGAAGGGAGGCCACATATCTGTTTTTTTCCCTCTCACCTCCTCTTCATCTCTCAATCTCTGAAATCTTCTAAGCCCTCACGAAAGCATTTTCTGTATGTTTTACAAATCTTCTGGGCTCAAACTTACGTCTTATTAACATTTAGCTTTGGTTTCTCTATACAAGTCGGGGAATACACTTTTTTGCCAGCCAACAAATGAGGACGCATGCCCCTGGAAGTTCTTAACAGAACACCCTTGCTGTAGGTGCTGCTATTTGCAGCGAGCAGTTCTCTTTCATAAATACACAATGCTCCTGCAGAGAACTAAAAGATGTTGGCAAAAACAGTCTTGTCAGCATTGTCTTGGCAATTCCCTATGACAGGCTTAATAGCGCTACTGACCAGCTAGAGATTAACAGGTTTTTTTAATCACTGCATGCACTGTTTCAATTTGTTAGGCAGTTAGGAGAATGAGTAAAAATTTTCAACGCTTGACTCCTGTTCTTCTTTGTCATTCTCCAGGCTACAATTACTAATTCGGAGTCATTCTCAATTATCACATGCATGATTAAGTAGTTATTCCAAGTTTTCACTATTAAACAATAGCCAAGAAACACATTTCTTTCAATTTCCATGGATAGTTTCACATTTTTATAAAAATAATCAGACATCTACAAAAATACACGGGTCTTTTGGAAAAAAATTACCATTAAAAAAAGCAACATGGTATTTCTATCTCCTGTTTTATCCACGTGATATAGGCATTACACAGAGAAGATGAAACCCTATGGAATTTACTATGAAAATCTGTATTTTTTTTCCACCATTTAAATTTCTAATACTGAGGAAACGTTGGGTCAATTTTACTGGCCCAAGCCATGAGCCCCCCTTTAATATCCTTAGCTAACACAGAACCAAATTCTTTGACAGGCAACTCCTGCAGAATTCTTACAGCCTTCTGAGAGTCATTTCCTAATTTGCAAACAACATATACAGGAAAAGATGTTTGGCCATTAGTTCTCTGCTTTTCTTCACAAATTCTTTTTTCTAAATATTCCAGACATTCTTCATCTTTTTCTTCTAATTTACTCAAAGGAATGTGGACAGCATGTAACAGGCGACAGATATCCACTTCTACCTGCGGCCGAACATCTAACAATACATGAGGAACTTGCTCATCCAATAGTTTTTTGTACTCCTCTACAGATACCCTGTCCGTACTGGACAGCAGACGTAAAGTCCTACACTTGTCTGTTGCAGAAGAACCACAAAATGCCTCATAATCCTGAAGGCAGGTGACAGATGGATTGTCACCACAAGCCGCACAGTCTGGTTTCTTTGGTCTTAACTTGATGTTGCGAAATCTCCCTTCACGGGCATCAAACATCAGCATGAACTGGCTGAAGGAGGAACCCATTCCCGAAGCAATCTTCAGCACTTCCAAGGCCTGGATGCACCCCACGATGCCTGGCACGACACCCAGCACTCCCCCATCTGCACAGTTAGTCACCGTCTCTGGTGGAGGGGGCTTGGGGAAGAGACACCTGTAGCAGGGCCCGCCCTGGTAGTTGTACACGACCAGCTGCCCCTCCAGCCGGAGGGCGCTGCCGGACACTAGGGGTTTCCCAGCCAGGACACAGGCGTCATTCACCAAGTACCTGGTGGGGACGTTATCGGAGCAGTCGGCGACGACGTCGTACTGCCGCACCAGCTCCAGGCCAGTGCCAGGGCTCAGGGCGCCGCAATTCCCGAAGCAATCTTCAGCACTTCCAAGGCCTGGATGCACCCCACGATGCCTGGCACGACACCCAGCACTCCCCCATCTGCACAGTTAGTCACCGTCTCTGGTGGAGGGGGCTTGGGGAAGAGACACCTGTAGCAGGGCCCGCCCTGGTAGTTGTACACGACCAGCTGCCCCTCCAGCCGGAGGGCGCTGCCGGACACTAGGGGTTTCCCAGCCAGGACACAGGCGTCATTCACCAAGTACCTGGTGGGGACGTTATCGGAGCAGTCGGCGACGACGTCGTACTGCCGCACCAGCTCCAGGGCAGTGCCAGGGCTCAGGGCGCCGCAGGA